TCCACACTAGACACAACTATTTAAATTAAATTTTATTCAAAGAATAATTAAATTAATTTTTAGATTTCATGCAAGAACAAGTATACAAGTTGTATAAACCTCAAAAACAATTAAACACAAAGCACATAAACCTATAATCATCCCCCTACCTCAATTTGAGATGAAATCTCAAAAGCCACCAAAATGAAACCGCGCCGAATCCGACGATACTTCGGGGCTACGACGGGGACAACATGGGGAACAACTATCCTCCTTGCGGCAACACCAAAATCCAAACCCGAACTCAAAATCCGAACTCAAAAATGGTCAAAACCGGATTCTAAAAGAGGGGAAAGGACGACCTCTCCAAGGCCTACGATAAAGCTTTCATTGGAGGCGGAAGAATCAAAGGGATAGAAGCTAAAAAGGGAAGAAGGAGGTGGCAGCCCCTTGGGCTGCCATGAATGGCCAGCCAAGGAAGGGAGAGAAGAGAAAGTTTGACTTTTCTATCTCTTACCCTCTATTTATAAAAAAACCCTAAAAGTGCCCCGAACGGGGTCCCACTCAGCCCTGAAAATTGAAATCTGTGCATATGCTCTCAAACGGTAAAACACTGTGAACGAAAAGAACCAAAATGATAAAAAATAAACAACAGAAGAAACGGCGTCGAAAATCGAGTCCCAAGTAGAAAGATATGCCCCGAACAAGTTCGGCGGCAACCATAGTCAAAAACCCTAAAACTGAGGAAAATGACCGGAAGACAATTCTAAGAGAACACGACTTGACGAAAAATGAAAATGAATCCCGTATAAGGATCCATGCCTAAAACAAGGCATTTTGTAATAACTTTCGTTAATTGCACAATTTTCCTTACAAAAAAGAATAATTGTACTAATGACCCAGATTGAAAATATCTTCCAAAAATATTTTCTTAAAAACCCCCGAAATAAAATATTTTCAAAAGATATTTATGAAAAACACCACAAGAAAGAAGAATGTTTCCGAAAAAACTTTACATTCATGCCCTTACGGACATAGGAAGTAACCAACATACTTTTCTACAAAAATAAAGATACGTATTTCGTGGAAACCAAATGGAATGATGGTACGTGAAGTCAAAAATCAACTCTGAGCACAAAAAGTGAGGTTACGCGGAAGAATTGACAAACGGGGAAAAGACGAAAAAGGAAAATGTCCGAAAAAGAAAAGAGAAGACGACACGGTCTTCACCAGGACGATACCAATCTCCTGAAAGAATAAGTGTCGGGAACTATTCTCGAGCATGCACTCACGATGATCCGAAAGGTTAAAACTTGTACTCAGAAAGGAAAACATCAACGGAAAAAATTTATCATTACACAGGCTTCTGAGGAAGAAGAAAAAGAAAAAGAAAAATTACCTTCACAGGCTTGATAGAGGAAGATAATGAAGCCGGAGAAGCCGTGTCGCTGACTAAGATGGTGTGTGGGTGTAGATCGGAGAAGTCGTGTGACCGTGTCACTGACTGAGAAGTTTGAGATGGTGTGTGAGCGATAGCTTAGTCGCGATACATAAGAGAAGATAAGAGGATGAGAGGATGAGGAGTGAGAACAGAAGATGAATGACTGATGAGAAGATGAGAGGATGAGGAATGGAGGAATGGAGGACTGATGAGGATTGAGGAGGACTGATTCGACTGAAGATGAGAGGAGGCGAGGGTGATGAGAGTTGAAACTTGAGATGAGGGGAGGCGAGGGTTAGGTTTAGGTTTAATTTTTGTTTTTATGGTTTAGTGTGGACCACGTGTTACAGTGTTACTACCTGTATGAGTGTACTGTGTATGGTATATTGGTATAATGAGTTTAGTAAGTATGTATTATGTAATTAATAATATATATAATTAAATTTATAATCATATATATATATATATATATATATACGGTTCCGGTTCTTAACGGTTCCCACCGGTCTGGAATCAGAACTGGAACCGTACGCCAATGGTTCCTAATTTCAGAACCGGAACTAGGACCGAAACCGTGAGAATCGGAACCGAAGCCAAGGTTCAGTTCGGTTCAATTCCACAATTTTTTTTGTGTACCCCTAGTTGCTCACTTGTGCTAAAACTAATACTTGTTTTAATATAGTGTTTATTTAAAATTTTAACAGATAAAATATCTATCAAATTTAAAAATAAATATGTTAAAATTTAGATCTATGTGAATTTGTATAACATAAGATCCTTTCAACTTTGAGGTCAGGTTTCATTAATTTTAAAAGAAATTTTAAAAAATAAAAGATTTGATAGTGATATAAATTAAGATCTAACGTGCATATCTATGCATATTTATGGAAGGACATGCATATTAAAAAAAATTAAAAAAAATCAGTCACCGCAACTTTCAGGATTAAATTTGGATATTCGGAAATGGGTTGGATCTTTAGTGAATGGGTCAGATCTTTAGTAAACGGGTTGGGTACGTTTGCAAACGGGTTGTGCCTTATGTAATGGCCCGAACTTTAGTTGATGCGTCAAGTCTTCTAAACGGGTCATTTTTGAACTTGAACTTCAATTTCCATTTTTATAAAATTAATTTCCACAGAGAGAATTTTAAGATCCAAATTGAATATTTGTAAACGGATCAGGTCCTTTTAAACGGGTCAATTTTGCTAGCTTCAGCTTTTTGTTTCAAAATTTCATGAAATTTGTTTCCAAAAAAGTTTGCTAGAATTAGGCAAGTTTAAAAATGGATTTAAAATAGAAAAACGGGTTACTGGGTTTCACGGGTTGACCCAACCCACATATGATCCATTGTGACTCACATTTGACCCTACCCAAACCCGACCTAATTCGCCTATTTGCCACCCCTAGTTTTTGAATGATGAAATTGGAAGGGAAATGAAGGAATTGTATTGTAATTTTCATGTTTGATTTAGTTTTGAGGAAAAAAAAAAAAAAAAAAAAAAAAAAGGAGAAAGAGAGATTTAAAAAGATAGGATGACAACTTAAAAAATTAACTTTAACATTTTAAAAAGGAAATATACAAGATATTTGGACCCTTTTTAAAACATTAGGGCATATGATAATAAATTTGTTAAATTTTTTTTTTTTTTTTTCATCCTTTAACCTTTTTCAAATAATAGTGGCAGTGTTATAAAAACTCTCTTTTTCTTCATAATTTATCATTACACAAATACAAGTATTGATTTTGATTTTTTTTTTTTTTTTTCTTTTCTCTTATACTTGAAGCTATCTCTTTTTTTTTTTTTTTTTTTTTTTACCCTTTTGTTCATAAGAATCTGATTAAGATTTTGTAGATAGGAGCAAAATAAATCAAAAGCAATCAACAAAAATCAGTTTGGAGAACCCTGAATTAGACTTAATTAGTGAATAAAACAACAATCCTTTTATTAATATTTTACTATTTTTTTAATTTAGTTTATTTATTTATTTATTTTTGGGTTAAGTGCAAAAAACACTCTCTAAATTATTGCCCTTTTGCAAAAACCTCTCTGAACTAAAAACTGCCCCTTGAACTATTGATTTGTTGCAATTAAGGACAAATTTATCACAAAAGACTATTTTACCCTTTCTCATTAAAATTTTCATTTCTTATTAAATTATTTTTCTTATCTTCTCTCTTATGTAAAAATTAATTATACTATTTACCTTAATTTTAGTTTTAGTATCAATTTATCATAAAAATGAAAAAAATAGATAAATAGATTTGTAACTACTATTTTCTAAATTGATTAACTTATTATTAAAACTTTATTATTTATAATAAAACGTATTATAACCAATTTAAATATTTTTATAGTAAAAAATATCATTTTTTTCATACAATATATTGTTGAAAATTTTATAAAATACTTTTTAAAAAATACCGTCTTTTCATGTAATATATTCATTAAAAATTAAAAATTTAATTATTTTTTTTAAAAAAATTAACTAAATTTTTTTATTTAAATAATTAATTTAAAAAATTAAAGCTAAATTTATGCAAATTTAATGAAAAATATCTCATCAAATTAGTATGAATTTTTTCATAATTTATTAAATGAGAAAAATATATTAAATGTAATTCAATAAGAAGGGATATTATGATCATTTAATTAAATATAGTATATTCTTTGGGGTATGTTGCAATAAAATAAGATAATTTAAGGAATTTTATGTACAAAATATAGTTTAAGAGGGTTATTTATAAATTCAAACATAGTTTAAGGAGGTTGCACAACCCTTTGTGTTTTTCCAAAATATAGTTTTGAATTAGCATAGTCGTCTGTGAATTTGCTGATTGCTACTTTTGTGTGGTTGATTAAAGTTTCACATAGCCCCATTACTACTGCAAATTCTAGTCATCAAGTCAAAAAATTCGGCATCAGTCTTCTGCTTGACGATACTGAAAGGAGCGACACCAACTTCTATAGTCATCTACTCAATTGTTTGTGAAATTGGTGATTGATATTTTTATGGTTGAATAAAGTTCCACAGGTCCCAATATTACTACAAATTCCAGTCAAAGAAATAAAAAATACGGCATTAATTCAGTCCGGTGATTTTCGATACCGAAAGGAGCGACACCGACTTCAATAGACATCTACCAATCGTTTATGACATTAGTGATTGGTATTTTTGTGGTTGATTAAAGTTCCATATGGTCCCATTATTACCACAAATCCTAGTCAAAGGAATAAAAAATACGGCATTAATTTAGTCCGGTACTTTACCATACTGAAAGAAGCAACATTGGCTTCTATAGACATTTATACTGACAGGAGCGACACCGACTTCTATAGACATCTACCGATCGTTTGTGACATTAGTGATTGGTATTTTTGTGGTTGATTGAAGTTTTACATAGTCCCAAATACTACCGCAAATCCCAGTCAAAGAAATTAAAAACACGGCATTAATTCAGTCCGCTGCTTGACGACACTGACTTCTATAGTCATCCATCCAAAAAGACTTTGGTACAAAAGAACAAAATTACACTTGGTAGTCTTCTACATACAGTCGTTCATGAGTATAGTAGGGTCGTCAATGCATGCAACTGATGAGATGTGGAGGTTTTACGTTGGCTATATATGTGTTTAATATCTAAGCATGTTTACTGACATGCATATACAAACGAGTACTCTGCTTCCCATTTAGCTATCTACAAGCCCTAATATTTGTGATCATAGATATGATCATGAGTACTCTTTTCTTGCATTGGCTACTATCCTCAACTGCCTTGTTCAGCTTGAGGCTATTATTATGTGATGGGATTAATATTCCAAATGATGTTGTTTGCAGTGAAGAGGAGAAAAGAGCCCTTCTAAGCTTCAAACGAGGTCTCACTGATCCTTCAAACCGGCTATCCTCTTGGTCAGTCGACCAAGAAAACTGTTGTAGATGGACGGGAGTCCGCTGCAACAATGTAACGGGTCAAGTCGTCGAGCTGCACCTCGGCAATCCGTATGGAGACTATTCCAACGACTTTGAATCTTACATGACACACCAGTTGGGTGGGAAGATTACTCCCTCTTTGCTCGAGTTACAAAGTCTGAGTTACTTGGACTTGAGCTGGAACAATTTCACTGGTGCTAGTGTTCCAAGTTTCTTAGGTTCTGTCGGAAGTTTGAGATACCTCAACCTCTCATATGCTTTTTTTGAGCGGTCTATTCTTCATCACCTTGGGAACCTCTCAGGCCTTCGCGTTCTGGATCTAAGCTTTAATTATCAATTTCATGTTGATAAGCTTAGTTGGATCTCTCATCTTCATGACTTGGAATATCTTGACATGAGTGGGATCGACCTTCACAACGCAACTGATTGGCATCCAGCGGTGAGCGTGCTTCCTTCCTTTTCAGAGCTACTTCTGTCCAGTTGCGGACTTGAAGGGCTGATTTCTCATCAGCTTGGCAATCTCTCGAGCCTTCGTCATCTTGACCTGAGTGATAATTTTGATCTTTATGTTGATGACCTTAGTTGGATAGCTCGTCTTCGTTCCTTGGAATCCCTTAACATGAGATCTGTTGACCTTCACATGGCAGTCGATTGGCTTCAAGCGGTGAGCATGCTTCCTTCCCTTTCAGAACTATATTTCTCGAGCTGCCAGCTTGTGAAAATCATCCCCCCTCTTTCTTATGATAATTTTACGTCTCTAAAAGTCCTTCACCTTTCTGGGAACAATTTCAGGTCCAAGATACCAGACCTGTTGTTTAATCTCACAACTAGCCTTCTTTCTCTTGACCTATCCTACAATTTCCTATATGGTCATATACCTAGCATCATTTCAAATCTTCGGTTGTTGAGCAATTTAGAGTTGGAATATAATCATCTAATCACAGGGCGAATCCCAAATGAGATTGGCCAATTGAAGCATCTTGAATGTCTCTCACTTAGTGGGAACTCATTGTATGGTCCCATTCCAACATCAGTCGGAAACTTATCGTCTTTGAGAATATTAGAACTTTTTGAGAATCAACTGAATGGCACTTTGCCAAAGAGTGTCGCGTTTCTCTCAAATCTTGAGGAATTAAACGTGCATCATAATTCCTTAGCAGGCATTATTTCCGAAGTGAATTTTGCTAAACTCTCAAAATTGAAGATATTGTATATGTCTTCAAACTCTCTCTTCTTTGAGGTGAGCTCCAATTGGGTTCCTCCTTTTCAACTTCACGAGCTTCTGATGAGGTCCTGCAAGATAGGTCCAGGGTTTCCTGCATGGCTGCAAACACAAACATCTTTCTATGCATTAGACATTTCTCAGTCCGGAATTTCAGGCAAAGCTCCAGAATGGTTCTGGAAGTGGGTGTCAGGTTTTGAATATATCAATCTCTCCGACAACCAGATAAATGGAGACATATCGAACGTTTTGCTGAATTCTAGTTTTATCGAAATGAGTTCTAATCGTTTTGGGAGTCAGTTACCACGTTTGTCTCCACATGTTGAAATGTTGAATCTTGCTAACAGTTCTATCTTTGGACCCATTTGCCCAGTCTTGTGCCAAGAGATTACTCGAGAAAGTAAGTTGAGGGTTCTTGATCTATCAAATAATTTACTATCCGGAGGAATTTCTTGCTGCTGGATGCATTTCCCATACTTGGTCCATGTAAATTTGGGGCGGAACAACCTGTCAGGTAAAATTCCTAACTCAATGGGTTCATTAAGTGCACTCGAGTCATTGCAACTGCATAATAACAAATTCTTTGGAAAAATAGCTTTGACATTGCAAAATTGCACCTTTTTAGTGCTCATTGATTTAAGTAAAAATGAATTTACTGGACTCATTCCGACCTGGATTGGAGAAATGATAAATCTTCGTGTTCTCCAGTTAAGATCCAACAAATTCACTGGCAACATACCTGCAGAGATATGCCAACTATCTCAAATTACAGTCCTGGATCTCGGGAATAATAGACTATTAGGACCCCTACCAAAATGTTTGAACAATATGAGTGCTATGGCTATTGTACATCCTTCAGGTGTTTTAAACACTACATTAGGTGATTACTATAGTTCAGATGTATATTACAAAGAAAGTCTTTGGGTGATAACAAAAGGGAGGGAATCAGAATACAAGAGTATCCTTGACCTTGTGAGGAGCATCGATCTCTCAAGTAATAATTTATCCGGGTCGATTCAAGATGAGTTGTCAAGTCTTCATGCATTGCAGTTTTTAAACTTGTCTCGTAATCAAATTACGGGAAAAATACCCGAGAATATTGGAGGCGTGACAATGTTAGAATCTCTTGATCTTTCAAGAAATCATCTTTTAGGTGAAATTCCCCAGAGCATGTCGAATTTGACATTTCTCGGTTTTTTGGATTTGTCATACAACAACTTCTTCGGAAGAATTCCTACAGGTACCCAACTTCAGAGTTTTAATGCAACTAGTTACATTGGCAATGCCGACCTCTGTGGAGCACCACTCAACAAAAATTGTTTAAGAGAAGAAGAATCTCAAGGTCAAGGTGTGACACCAGTGGAGAAAGAGGAAGATGAGCATGAAATGTTATGGTTTTATATTGGCATGGGTCCTGGATTTGCCGTTGGATTTTGGGTTGTTTGTGGTACTCTTTTCTTCAAAAGGACATGGAGACATGCTTATTTTCAATTTGTTGATGACATGAAAGATCGGATCTACTTGACTATACTCCTAAAAGTGAATTGGCTCCGTAGGAAGTTTAAGAGACGTAGTGGCACATGAATATTCTTGCCATCATCTTCTACAAGATATTGAGTCCAGCATTTCGTTTTTTTGAAGGTTTTTTTTCCCCATGTACTTGCTATTATGTTTTCGTTGTTTATATATGTAATAATATATTATGCATTTTGTAGTCTGCATTGTAGTCCTGCTCTTTTTTTTTATTTAATAAATTAGCACTTTTAAATTTTCTTCAACTATTATATGTTAAAATGAAAACAATAATTGTTAGGAAAAATAAATTTAAAAAATTCAAATTCCTAAATCAACTTACACCATTATTTTTCGTTCACTGTAACTCTATTTGGTTCAAAAAAATCAAGATCAATGAAATTGTTCGAAAATATGTGGAGTTATGATATTTGCAACAAATAGACATAGACCGAGTGTTACTTTTCACTATTCTTTGATGCTTCGTTCCAAAAGACAAGACTTGCTCTATGCATCACAAGCATATGTAAAATATGTATTTAATTATAAAATAAGAAAAGTAATGTAATGACCCAAACTCGGGGGTCCGGATCGCTAACATGGTCCTTACCTAGACCCGAGGTGACACAGGGGTACTATGGTCATTCCACATTAATCTTAATGATTTAAGGTCCACTAAGGGTAAAATCGTCATTTATTAGAGTCATTCCATGAATTAAATGAGATCCGGAGTGTGATGTTATGACTTATATATATATATATATATATATATATATATATATATGTATTAAATGAAAAAAAACAAATGGTGGGACCCACCACTTATCTTTAAGTGGCATGAAGGCCACATATGGCCTCACAATTCTCTCTCTCCCGTAACTCAATTTCTCTCTCCTTTCTCATTTCATTTTCTTTTTTCTTTCCAAGTGAGACTTCAATCTTTGATTTCTCTCTTATCTTTTAGAATTTTTGGGTGCCGTTTGCGGCAAATCGGAGAGTACGGCGAGATCTACGTGTGAGTACTGATCAACCCTTGTCTTGGATCCGAGGGGTATCACAGCAAATCAAGTGTCTTCTGTCCCTAACCATTCCCATCATGCATCCAATGAGACATGTATGACTTGTTCAAGTGTTTTACATTCTACTTCCAATTGTCCCCATGGACATGCGCAAAGTAAGCATCATGAACAAGTCAATGCAGGTTTTGTTAATCAAGGGAACAATCCTTATGGCAATCATTATAATCTTAGTTGGAGGAATCACCCGAATTTCTCTTGGAGAAACCAAGGGGAAGGCTCAAACCCTCCCCAAGGTGGATTCCAAGGGAAGTATGTTCCACCTCCAATGCAAAGCCAAGGTTCCCAAGGATATAGACCATTTTAATCGCAAGAAAATCAATTTTCTAATTTTCATTTTCCTAATCAACCATCATATTCTCAAGGAAATGCTAGGAGTCCCACTTTTGAAGAGAAAGTTTTGACCGCTCTAGGCACTCTAGAGGCGAATACTCAATTGCTTCATTCTCATTCTCAATCCATTTCTAAGTTAGAAACCCAAATAGGGCAAATAGCTAGTACTTTAAATGCTAGAGAGAAAGGGAAAATGCCTTTGAATGCCCCACAAAAGTAACAATGTATTGTGGAGACTCATTCCTCATCGGAAGGTCACATAATAGAGCATGTCAATACGGTGACTACCTTGAGAAGTGGGAAGATTGTAGACAACCAAGTGGGTATGTCCAATGAAGAGAGTGAACCGGTGCAACCATAAGTTGACACCCGTCCCGTTTCACATCCGATTCCTCCTTCATTGCATATGCATGATCTTTCAAATGAGAATATCTTGAAAAGTGATTTAAAAGGTGATTTTGTAAAGAAAAATTTGCGAAATGATTTCAAAACTTCTTGTGTTGAAGAGACTTCAAAGAAAATGTCTGAAAAGGTTTTTGAGCCAAGAGCTAGGATCCATTTCAATTGACAAGCAAAAGGCCAAAACAAATGAAATTATAGATGTATTTAGGCAAGTGAAAGTCAATCTTCCACTTTTGGATGCAATCAAGCAAATTTTGGCTTATGCTAAGTTTTTAAAAAACTTATGCATCCAAAAGAGGAAGAACAAAAGCCAAGCACCTAGGAAAGTGGTTTTAACCGAGCAAGTAAGCTCAATTTTGCAGCATAACACTCTTCCGAAATTTAAGAACCCCGGTTCACCTACGACTTCATGCATCATTGGAGATCATATCATTAATCGGGCTCTTCTTGACTTAGGAGCAAGTGTTTATCTTCTTCCATACTTAGTATATGTCAAATTAGGCTTAGGAGACTTGAAACCGACATCGGTGGTTTTGTAACTTGTAGACTGATCCATCAAAAAGCCTAGGGGTATCATTGAGGATGTATTGATTAAGATTGGTAAATTCTTCTTCCCCGTTGATTTCGTTGTCATTGACAAGGAACTGGTCCTGAATCCTAAAAGCCAAATTCTCATTATCCTTGGCCGTCCTTTCTTGGCAACCGCGAATGCCAACATTAATTGTAGGATGGGGATAATGAAAATCTCATTTGGCCACATGAAGGTGAAGTTGAATATCTTCAATCCGACCCCCAATTCATTTGACAAGCATGAAAAAGTGAATGTTATAGAGAAATATCATAACCTTGAATGTGAAATAATAGAGTCTTTGTGTGAAACCAAAATTTCAAAAAGTCCATCTTCAATCCTGAATTCCAAGAAAGTTGTTTCAAAATCTTGTTTTGAAAGGGTATGGAAGCCCAAAGATCATTGTGACCAAGGACCAAAAATTTCTTTTGAGCCTAATCCAACAAGTTCTCTAGGGAACCGTTTGTTGGGTGGAGTTCAAAACACCTATCACCCCATCAAGGAGGGGATGCACTACAAGATGTTTGACCCGGGCTAAAAGAGTCCAACGTTTTACTAGAGACGTTAAAGACTAGTACATTTCGTAGGGTGTCACAACCCTATTTCTCCCTCATTTCTATTTTGAATTTCATTTCTTACGAAGTCTAGATATTTGGTTTAGGTTCATATACATTGCTAGGAACTGTGATTAGGATTGCATGCACTTTCATGTTGAAAATGAGCATTTTGCATAAGTTCAATCGATCTCTAAGGAGGTTCGATCGATCGAACTCCATACCTGCATCCAATCACCTCTCTGTCCAATCGTTCGAAGAAAACCTGCATATTTCAGCTCTCTGTCCCATCGTTCGAACTTGTTCCTAGATCGATCTTTAGCTCTTCGATCGATCCAACTTCATCTTGGATTGATCTGTAGTCTCAACACTTAGAAAATTTTTGAACCTGCATCCAACTTGCATCAAAAGGCTCTTTGTCCTATCGATCGAACATGTCTGCAGATTTTTGCATGTTCGATTGATCGGAGTCATTCTTCGATCGATCTTAGAGAGATTGATCTCTGTTCTTTAATTTACTGTTTTGTTTTCAGTTTAATTTCTTTTTGTTTTGAATTTTAAATTTTAAATAATAAATTATATATATTTTATTTTGTTTTATTTTTATTTTTGTTTATTCAAAATTTATTTTTTTTTTAAAAAAAAAAAAAAAAAAAATTCAAAAGCTTCAAAAACAATTTATCTTTTAGTGAGGAGAGATCGATCATAGTTCGATCGATCTGAGATTTTAGTTCGATCAATCGAACTGGTAATGAATTGTTTTTAAAAATCAAATCTAGGGTTGTTAGATCGATACCACAGATCGATCTAACACCCTCTCCTTCGTCCCTCGCCTCTGCAACTCACCTCCTCACCTCCGGCGAACCCTCTGGCGACTCCATCTCACCTTGAATCTCTCTCCCTAATCTAGGATCTCAAATCTCATCTTCATCTCATCTTATCTCGGTTTAAGGTAAGATCCAAACCCCCTCTTTTGATTTCAAGCTCTAATTTCATGAATCCATGCTTTAAATGTTAGATCTAAGGTGTCTTGAAGATGAATCTTGCCATTGATGACGTTTTGAAGCTTTGTATATATGCGTATATATATGTATATATAGGTTTTATATTTCTTGATTTTAATTTCGATTTTGGGGGTCACGGGCCATGGAAAGTGACCATATTTGTTTATTTGTTGTGTAGAGGGGCCCATAAGCTTGTTTGTGAGGCCCCCGTGCCATCCACGTCACAGATCTATGACTTTTCGAGTTTCACCTCACAGTTCGATCGATCAAACTTTTTCTTCGATCGATCTGTAATAGATCGATCTCACTTATTCCCGATCGATCGAACTTGCATTGATCTCACATTTTTGTGATCGATCGAACTTCATAGATTTGCATCACACATTTTACACACCATCTCTTGTGTTTTATGTTATCTCATACATGCCTAATGCCTGTGTTTTCCACATTGGATGCATTCCATACTTATACTGTCTAGCATGTTTCACATCATGTCACTTATTCCTTGTCACTTGCATAGATTCATGTTCCTTATCTGTTTTGTCTATCTTATTTGACATACATGATTCTATCAACTATGGTTTATTTCTTTATACCGGCACTGACTTCCTTTTTGTAAGTTTTCCTTTTATTTTGCAGGCCATGGCTAGGGTAAAGACTGTTGCTCGTGGACACTATCACTGTAGGGCCAGGTAGAGATTGGATGACGAGGCAGGTCCATCTCATGCCCAGGACCCCATTCATAAGTCCGAGCCAGAGCATATTCAGGAGGAGCCAACAGAGCCCTCTCCACCTCAGTCTCCATCCGACAGTCGACTACAGTCTTCAGTCGAGGCATCCTCTTCACAGGCTGACGCTGAGGCTAAGCACATACTATCTCAATCACCACGCCAGCTCAGCTAGCCCAGCACTTAGACCAGCCATTACCGAGATACTCACACCTTTGAGTAGTGCAAGAGTTGGTCTTTGACATAGACTACTTCTCCTTGTCTGTTCTTACTAGAGCAGCATATGATGATATAGACCGGAGGGGCATCCCAGCCATACTAGCCCCTGTCACATACCCAGTGTACCCGAGGTTGGTCCAGATGTTCTTCCAGAACCTTCGACCTGCCCCGAGTAACCTGGCGGATCTGCGGACTACCATTGACGGCAACCCTATCAGTATCATAGTGGACACTCTTTCTAGATCTTGCCGTTGTCTACACGTCTGCCCTCCCGATCTCCAGGATACCTACCCTACTCTATGGAGGCCCTCATATGTAGACATGGCCGTTGCACTCACAGGTCACTATGCCGGTGGCGAGGCCTTCGCCACCTGGACTTATCTGCCAGACGACCTGTGGTTCTTCGATTCGGTGCTATATCAAAATGTTTTTATGACCAGCCATAAGATACATAGGCATGACGACTTTTTGACAGCTTTATACACCTTCTATACAGGGCGCTGGATATCCATTCCTGCGCTCACCTAGAGCATTATGATGAAGTTATATGTTGACCATATCAGCAAGGCCAATCCCAAAAGGGCTAAGTATCTCCCATTCAGCCATCTCATCACACACATTCTGAGAGACCAGCGCTATCCCTTCCAGCCACGGGAGCGTACTGAGTCTGAGGCCTATTCATTCAAGAAGAAGAATTGGGATAAGAGCTACCAGGCCCTTATCAAGAGCCTACAGGACGACGCTGTCGAGGCAACTGAGGAGATGAAGCAGGCAGCGGCAGCAGCAGCAGAGCAGGCGGCGGACGATATACCAGTTGATCCGCCTACCATGCATATGGTTATTGACTTAGAGCAGCCTGCAGAGGACCAGGAGTATCACTCTCCAGCTGGGTCGCCCATTCAGGATGAGAAGCAGGCTCAGGATCATTATTCTCCAGCTCCAGCGGTACATAAGGCTCCAGCACAGACACCCAGCATTGGAAAGTGCATCCAGGCTTTTGAGGTTGCTATAGTCTCTATCCAAGCAGACACTGTCTCTATCCGAGCTGACATTACTTCACTCCGTACGGATGTCATAGCTGTATTACGTGATTTATCTAGAGACATCCGTAGAGCACGCCCTGCTCGTCCTACCTCCTCTTCATGATTTCCATATCTTCTTACTCCTCTTATATATCTGTGATATCTGCATATTTTTGATACTGTTATATTATTTTTACAGTCAGTCTGTTGGCTTTGATATCTCACTAGATTTACTATACTTTATTCTGTTTTTCTATTTTATCCATGATCTTTTGGATGTCATATTCTTCTATTGATATATCTGTCTATGACTGACTCCATCAGGTGCATCCCAGTAACTTCAGTAAGAGAGAGTACTGTCCAAAATTTTTAGGACCACCTTTATACCTCTCTCTATTTTCAGTTGCTATCCTATTTACACTTGCATGTCCACTATGCACTATTATTATCCTTTTTGTTTTCTGATGAATTTTATCCACGTGCTAAATTTTCAGGACCATAGTTAATCCTAAGTTTGGGGTAGCTATGCCACCTACTTTGGATACTTTTGTCTCGGTTATTCTTTGCTATAGTTGCACTGGTATACTCTTTCCTTTTGTTCTCTTTGCACATTGAGGGCACTCTGCCATTTAAGTTTGGGGGTAATAGTGTGATTTGCAGTGTTTGCTATAAATTTAAAATTTTTAGCATGACTTGTGTGTTTGAGAGATTTTCTATGATTGGTCCATAACTAGCTATGATTTTGATCTTTTGAGGATTATATTACTTAAAATTTAAAAATTGCTTGACTTGAGAGTCCAATACCCCTTGTATGCCATGTGGATGCCATTTAGGGGTAAATTTTTTGAAAGATTGATATTATGCTTGCACTTGTGGTTCACATCATCCTGATTTTGTGATTGATTTAAGATTCACTCTAGTATTTTACACTAGGACAGGCACACACTAGCATTCACTTGTGGGGTACATGCTTTGTTGATTATTGAATTAGTTATATCCCAATTGGGCTAGTAGTGCATTGAAAGCTTTCATTCTTGATAAAGGTGGATAACAACCCCTTTTCACTAAGTAGCCATGATTCTAGCCTCATCAAGCACTAAACTTCTCGCGCCAAAAAGTGAAAGGCCCAAACTCTAAGTTAATAATTGAACTTGCTGAAAAAAAAAAAAAAAAAAAAAAAAAAAAAAAAAAAAAAAAAAAAAAAAAAGGAAGAAAAGGAAAAATTGCAAAAAGCAATAAAAAAAAGTGAGGACTTCTCCCAAAAGGTGAGAAGTAGAAAATAATTGAATGGAGGTTGTTTTGATTTGTAGCCTAGTTGATTTGAGCTTGTAAGTCCTTAGGGGTATTTGAACACCTAGTACCCTAAAGCCGTCTGGTTTGGGAGTCATTGACTTAATGCTCGACCTCATGGACCACTAGAAAGCTTAATAGATCAACACATTACACCATGCTTCCATCTTTGATCCTAAAAAAATAAAAAATAAAAAATAAAAATAAAAAGTGAAATGAATAAGCGCATCTAGAACAATAAAGCTTTAATAAAAGGTCCACCATTTGTCTTGATGATCGGTACTAGATTTGTGTGCTAGTTTGAGGGTAAGAATGTAATCATTTCTTTAGTTGGCTAAGATATCAACATACTTGATGCCGGTCCACTCAAAAAGGATTCTAGAGTTGTTTCGATTTCCATGATCATTTTTTTGATGTGTGGAGGACCATACTTGCTTGCCTGATGTTGAAATTTTAGGAGATTGCTTAGAAATGTTTGAAAAATTACATACTTGAGGTAGTTTTCTCCCAATGCTAGTTTGCAATATTGGTGCCTCTTTTGAAAGAATGAGCTTAATGTTTGTGGGTATCATTTTTGGAAACCCTCATGAGACTTCACTCGTCCACTAGGGGTAACCTAGAGGTTTAAAAGACTTGTTGCATATGCTAAATGTAATCGTGTTCCCTACGAAAGTGGCGTTATCCATTTATTGTTTTCTAGTTCATAGTTGTATAGTTGTTCATTTCATTCCTTTACTTTCTAGTTCATTGCTAGGAACTAGCAATATTTAAGTTTGGGGGTGTAATGAGCGCTGAAAAATACGCATTTAAACCCCTTAAGCTTAGTTATTTTAGAACATTTATCTATCTTATTTTCCCGCTTTAGATTGATTTTGTATTATTTCCATTTTCAGGTACTTATCCCCAAAAAAAGCTAACTCAGCTAAATAAGAGCATAATTGAAGCAATCTTAAGATGAATCAAATAAAGGAGCAAAGTAGGAGCAAAAAGGAAGCAAGTGGTGGAAATTCAGCAAGTTCGATCGATCTCAAAAAATATTCGATCGATCAAAATTTCATCGATCTCAGCATTTCAAGATGGATCCAAGCTCTCTTGTCCTTATCCAAAGATCCCACAAAGTTCGATCGATCTAACTTTCTTCCGATCGATCGAAAAGTTTCCATCTTATCCACTTGTACCACCCTACCTACCACATTTGTCTCTTTCCCAAAAATATCTTCAAAATATCTCAGATTTGTTTTTATTCAAAAAGGCGCCGCCAAAGAGGATCAATCCAGCTTAAATTCGATAGATCTCAACCATGTTCGATCGATCTCACCATAAGTTCGATCGATCGAACTTCCCAAATCCCGAGAAAATTCAAATTTCAGCGCATTAAAAGTTGTCTCATATCTAATCATTGAAAGGAATATTGGTGTACGAGCCCAGCTCATTTGGGGTAATATTTAACCTACCTATATAAATAATGTGAGCCACTTTTTGAGAGATACACCTGATAGCAGATTGACACAATTTTCTATATTCTTAGGGAGGAAGAAAAGAAAGAAGGAAGCTAGAGACACAAGCTTGGAGTTCTTCCACCAACCAAGAAGATGAGCAATCTCTACTATGGAGTTAGCCCTTGAGGGTTGGAGGACACCATCCATGAGTGGCTAGACATCCTTTTGGGGCTAGAGTTAGCCCTAAGTATGCTTTCTATATCTTGATTTATGTATTTTTGAGGGGATTTGTATTGTGATACGTGTTTTGACATTTTTATATATATAGATCTTGTTTATTCAATGATTTGTGTGATTTAATACTTCCAATTGATCATTTCATTCTATCTATATGTATATATATGCTAAAATAGATGTTCATGTGTTTGTCTCTATTTCTTGTGTTATTGATACATGTCTATGTGTATTAATGCTATAAATCTAGAGATTGTCAAGACATAGTGCTTAATGGAATGCTCTTGTGCTTTATTTGATGGTTCATACTCATTTCTTGATGGATTGTGCCTCTCCCTTAGTTTAATTAGTTTAATTATATGTCATTAGCTTAATTGTAGTGTAGTTGTAGTTTAGATATTAAATGGCAGGACAATCCATGCTTGTTGTTTGATGTTCTATACTTATGAAAGCATGTAGCACATATCTCTAACCTTGTGATGTATTTGGATTATGAGCTTAAAGAAAGGATTAATGGCTTAGTTTGATATATTGTACTATTCACCATGTTGTTTAGACAATATATGCTTAATTTGTCATCTATGCTTATTGAAACAACCACACACACACTATGTTGTAATAAATGTTTCCCCCTCACTAATCAATCATTAAGGGTGTAGAAAAGCTATGCTTAGTGGTGATCTCTAAACCCCATGATCTCTCTCTTATTTTCTCTCCATTACATTAAATTATTTACTTTAGTTTAAATTGCATCTTAGTGTAATTCAACCACCAACCAATCTTTTGATCACTCGACCTACTAACCCTAATCTCGATTCCACAACCTAGTATTACCCACCAATCCCTTGAGACGATCCCTACTTGCCCTAACTATATTTTTAGTGAAAGGTTGTAGTGGCAATTTCTAAATGTAAAACTTGGCCACATTCATCATAGCTCTACACCATTATCTTTTGGTGCATAAACTTTTGGTTTGGGTGCGACACCGCCACCTCTTCAATCCTTGAGGTTAAGAAATCATTTGGACAAGGGTTGCCCACTTAAGATAGATACCATCAGCAAGACAATATCCTGTAGTGTATTGGTTACCATTGATGGTATAGTTGGCAGAAGGGGCATGTTCTTCAATGAGCTCAGCAAAGAAATAAGACTGATCAAGAATGTTGATATCATTATGGGATCTAGGCATACCCAAAAAAACATGCATATCCACAACTCATACGAGGCCACTGCCTCAAGTATAATTGTTGGTTCATGTATATGCCCAGTAAATTGACCATGCCATGCAGTAGGACAATTCTTCCATTTCCAATGCATACAATCCAAACTCCCTAACATTCCGGGAAATCCACGTTTCTCCCCCTCCCGTAGCAGTCTGAAAATGTCCGCCTCAGTCGGCAATCTCAAATATTCTTCACGATAAATGCTAATGATTCCTGCACAGAATCTCTTCAAAGACTCAATTGTTGTGCTTTCACTAATTCTCACATACTCGTCAATAGCATCAGCGAGCATACCGTATGCAAGCATCCGAATTGCCACAGTCATCTTTTACAAACCGGATAATCCGGTAAAACTGACGGCGTCAATCTTTTGGACAAAGTAGTCATCATATTGTTCAATCGCATTTAATATACAAAGGAACAATGGACGATTCATTCGAAAGCGTCTTCGAAAGACGTTAGCTTGGTAGACAGGAATTTCACCAAAGTAATCTTTAATTAGTCACTCATGTTGGGCAAACGGAAGTTTTTAAAACTTTATGAGGGATTTTCAAATAAAGATCATGATTCATATGTAGAGACAAGTTTTATGCATGAAGAATATGATAATCCATTCAATTTAAGGTTAGAAAACTTACATCAAAGTTTGAGTAAACCTTAAATCTCTCATCTAAAGTGAAAATTCTCACTTATTGTAGATCCTTTTGCTAGATGCCTTCTACTTGGATCTCCATCTTTATGGTAATGGTTTTACCTTTAGGAATCACCCATAAGCTTCCATGATTAACTTTGGAGAGCTAAGCTTGTGGGAGCTTCCATTAAATGAGATCACGAACCCTAAAATCTTAGAGAGAGAAATATTTCCTTGTCTTCCAAAAATTATTGCATATAGGCGTGACCTAAAATATACCTGGACTCCACGTATATATAGGCAACTTAAAAATAATAATTAAAAACATTATATTTTTCTCAATCTCTAAAAGTAATATGATATCTCAAATCTAATGGGCCTCCAATATCAAGTTGGGTTATGAGTGAGAATCCTTTGGGCTTATTATTTTATTAGCTACAATGAATAAATAATTGGCTCGGTCCATGGATCCAATTCCATTAATTCATTAATTAATTTCTACTCCACTAAAAGAAATTAATTGAACTCCAATTAAATAATAAATAACCACTAAGTCAATATTGCACTTTGACCCCTCTATGCATAATTAGTTATCGGATAAATAAAGACATCAATCCGACTACTTAATTAATATATTTATTTTGATACCTTTGATTATTTCCGGCTTGATCACAATAAAACATTTGTTTGACAAAAATAATAATTTAAATAAATAAATATATAGAAAACCATTTTGTCTAAAAACACATGAAAGCCTTTGAATTTACTTTGTGATCAACCATAATCAATAAAAAAAAAAAATACAAGTAATAATGATGCAAATATTGAAAATATAATTCTCTAACTATTAATTACATAATTACCCAAAGTGTCGGTCTATGGATTTTGAAGATTCAGCCAAACAAATCAAAGTAATTACTAATTAATAAAAGAGTCTATGCTTCTCTCATGCTTAAGAGTCAAATGTCATGACAGTGATAGGGAGCAATTGCATATGATGTCTCTCGCAATATATCTCAACCTAACACGGATTCAATTCAAGTCTTTGTTAATAATGAGTCAATCCATAATTACCAACTATGAACTATTTATTATTACTATTTATATTCATGTATTGATCGCCATCACATACATATATAAATATCTCTTATAATTAAGTGGACACTACCAATTCCATAATGAATCAAAACATAATATATTAAATTCACCAATTGTATAAATCATAAATATTTCAGATATATCAGGAACATATGTCACTTTAATCCAAATAGGAATTTGGTATGCCAGGGCATATAAATCCCAACAACTCATTGCCAAAGATTCAAGAATCATTGAAATCTCCTATCAAAATCGCTCTTCTCAAATTGCTCATTGTAGTACTAAAGTTATAATGAAGGAAGATTGTTTGTAGGTAGAGGATGATAGCTTTTATAGATGGAGTATTAATAGTTGAGAATGGTAGTTGGGAATATTAGTTGAAAAAGAATGATAGTTAGTAATGGTAGTTGAAAAAGAATTGTTATTGAAAAAGAATGATAGTTAGGAATGGTAGTTGAAAAAGTTTGCATTGGAAATGCTGCTGAAAAAAAAGTTTCACGATAGATTTTACAAATGGAGAAATGATAGTTGAGAATGCTAGCTGGGAATAGTAGTTAAAAAATAATGATAGTTAAAAATGGTAGTTGGGAAAGAATGATTATTGTGTTAAAAAATAATATTTTGAATGAAATAAGCTGAATTGCTAAAATATAATATTTTAACCATGTAACTCATATTAAAATATAGCATTTTGCATTGGAGTTGCTTTGCGCCCTAACAAAATAAGCCAGGGTTAACGAGTGTGATTTCTTGTGTTCAACTACAAGCATTGAAATTCGCATCCGCATTTGCTTTACCATAACCCTATCTTTTACTGTCCCGGCAAAAAAGTGAAATAATAAAAGCACCCTTTAGTAGCAGATCTGATGTAGAACTTTCATTTCTTTCTTGAACTTCCCTACCATTTTGTTCACCTAGTCCTATACATCTATATACACACACAGAAAGAATCATATATATATATATGTGTGTGTGTGGAGAGAGAAAGGGGCAAGAGGGAAAGGGAGATTTGGCCACAAGAAATTGTGGGTATGGGGTGCTTGGCAAGGAAAACTTTTGAGTAGGTAAAACAAACATCCTTGCCCAACCCACCCATTCCTATGATTTCATGAGGCGTCTCCCTTCCCTTTCTTGTCCTGCTTATATCTATCTCATCTCATCTAATCTCATGCTGCTCTCTTTTGGTAACCCCTAGATCTGTCTTTATTCTCTTTTTTACTAATTACTTGGTAGTCGTTTTAGGTGATTGCTTATTGTTTTGATTTACATCAATAATTGTATATGTTTCTACATTATTTTTGCTGCTCTGTAATTAAATCATATTGTGATTGTTGAATGCTCTTTTGTGGATTTGGGGGTGATGTTGGGATTGAGACAATCAGGTTTTAAATATCGATGAACAGGAAAAGGGAAAAGAAATAAAATTAAAGGAACAAAAGAAAAGCGCAAGTCATAGAAACTGTTATATTGCACTTAACCCTTCATTTTTATGCTTTATACAAGATAAAGAATCTCAAGGACCGGCTTTGTTTATTAGCCGGTGATGGTTTCAATTTTCTCCCATGAATTGCAATATCAGCTATGCCATAGACCAGTCGAAATGCTATGGTTTTGTTCAGAGAAAGACAGAAAAGAAAAATGAATCATTTGTTCTGTTCTATACACTGTTGTTCATTGAACTGTGATTGACTTAAATTTACCCAATTTAAAGATATCATAGACACAACTAGAAGTTTTCCATGAAGTTTGCGTGAAGTTTGGTGGAAATCATTGTTATTAAAGGCCCAAGGCGCACCAAGGCGCTAAAGGTCCTTGGGAGCCTAGGCGCGAGGTGCACGGCGAGGCGCGCGCCTGAGTGAAGTGAGGCACATAATTGAAAATTTAAACTACCATAATAACATTCATATCTCATAAGTCATATCAATATTCTAAAAATTAATATCAAATATAAAAAAGTAAACTCATCAACTATACAAGCATTCAACAAACATAAAACAGAGCACAAATTTGTTTTCTTGAAAGGCAAAGCAAAATGTGTTTTTTGAATGGCAAAACAAAGCACAAAAAGAAATAAATATGTTAAAAGAAAAAAAAAAAAAAAGGACAGAGAGATGAGAGAACTAGACGAAGAAAGAGATGAGAGAAAAAAAAAAAAGAAAAGAAAGAACTGACATGGCTTCGTCGTTCGTCTCTGCAACTAGGGCTTCATCTTCGTCTCACAACCTCATTATATCACTGTTCGGTTAACACTGACTCTTGGGCTTTCTTATTTTTTTATTCTTTTGAACAAAAGTTCCTTCTATTGTATGATTGAGCTTTCTTTTTTGTTTATTAAGTTGCCAAAAGTACCTTTTTTGGCTTAAGAAATAGAACAATCGTATTTTTTTAAACAAATATCAGTGAGACGCGCCTAGGCACACCTCACAAAGAGGATGAGGCACAACCGAGGCGCGCGCCTAGTAAACATCAATGAGCCTGGGATGACAACAGGTGTTAAACCTGAGCCTCGTGCCTAGGCGCGCCTTTAACAACACTGGTGGAGATTCACATTTTTAATTTTCTTTTTTATGAAAATCCCTCAATGAATAATGCTTGTTTTCAAATTTTATTTTATTTTATTAAATCTTAATGACATAATATGGGCTAGCCCAATGCTCTGAGGCATATGGAGAAGTTGTTTCTAGTTTCAAACCTGTGACCTTCAGGCTTCAGGTAACATTGCACCAAGGCCTGCCCTCAATCTAATCACTTAATATTTTTATTTACTATTTGAAAATAAAGCTATTGTTATGTCATTTGATTTGTTTAATTATGATGTTTTTAATTGTTTTACTCTTAAACAAGTTGATTTTGGAAGTGTCTCTCTTTCTCTCTGTGTCTCTCTAAATTGTTATTTTGCCTTGTGTGATAAGTGAATAGGAATATTTCTTGTCGTCGGAACCACTAGAATTTCTTGAAGGGGGTCCTTGAAGGGGGTGCATGAATACCAACTTGGAAAAAGAAAGAAAGAATCACTAGAATTAGTAGGGGTTTCCAATTGACATGCAATTGTTAGATTAATTCAAGGGGGTCACACGACATACAAATGTAAGATTAGGTCATTTCATAAAGCTTGAAATTGAATCATGATGTCCATATTTGACCCTTGATCTAGTTCACTGAACTGTATCTCATAGTCACCCACAAGAAAAGCTTAGACACAAGTTTTTGTGCCAAGAATATTCTCTTAGACTGGTTTTTAGGAATTTGCTAAAAATAAATTTTTATTAGCGTAAAATATTGTGACAAATTAATAGATAGAACATTTTTCTATTTATGTTCAATATATTAATGTATAATTAATAGGTGAAACATGATTACGCCTTTTCCTGTTATGGTCAATACTCAATACTCACTGAGATGGTTATGCTAATATTAGATAATGACACCATGAAGGGCTTAACTCATGTGGTATTACTTCCTTCGTTCAAATGGAAGGTTGATTGTTCAAGTCCCGCAATGGGAAAAATGTGTTTGTAACTTCGTGTGTAATTTGCCAACCTAAAAATAAATAAATAAATAAATAATCTACTTACCAAAGAAACGTTAGGCACTGA